TTCTCGTCTTTCTGTCTCTCTTCTCTCTCTTCTCTCGCAGGAGGATCCGGGCTAAGAGCCACATATAAAGGACTCTTCACCTGGGAGTGTAGCTCCACTGGTCGGCCGGAGCCGTATCACCTCCAACTTGAGATCCTTGAAGTGGAAGACGACGGACAGCAGATCGCAGCTAAGACGACCGTTAGTCCGGGTTGAGGTGCACACGAAGTGGTTGAAACTGTCTTCTAAAACCATTCAGTCGAAGCTAGCTGGAGTTACTCTTGCGATAGCAAGGTTTCTTTCGACCGGGTGCAAATCCTAACCCCTGATTTTTCAGGTCGAAGCCCCCCCCCCCTCATCACTCTCACTCTCACACTCTCACTGCATGCGGAAAAATTCGGCCTGTTTTCTGCTTCTTGTGAAGCTACTCCTCTCGGCCACCTTCACAACCGCATCGCTGGGTCATGGCCGTGTGCTTCTTCAAAGAGACTACAGTGTACTACAGGTAACCGTACATGTTTCCAATCCAACACCCAAACATTTCAAATTTCTTGGTGAGCAAGCTACGTCTGTGTCTAGACCTCGCATCCTAAAATACCAATATTCTTTCCACTCCCTGGTTTCGAGATCAAGTGCATACTCCTTTGCCCCATACCGATCTATTCTGGAGCGCTAGCTTTCGCCACCCCCCTTGGCCTCAAGTATATAAGTGGCCCAGCAGTAACAACCGCTCCAGCCCAGTTGCCCAGTTGCTGATCAGCCAGGCGACCTCGGACTTGGACGCTGCCTCGGAGGCTTTGGTCCAAGGGGCCTTGGACCGGGCCATGGCCAATGCCTTTTGGTCGCCCAAAGCGTTGGGAGACCGCCAACTGGTGCGGTGACTTGCGGATGGCCCTCTTTCAGGTGGCCCAACACCTTAGAAGTCTGGGGGGCTCTAAACGGGGTTGTGTTTGAAATTGTATTTTGAGGCTTTGCTGTGCTATGAGGTAGAGGCTTTTGGGGTGCAAGGGCTTTGGTCACGCGCAGGCCAAAAGAAAGACTAGGCAGAGGGCCTGGCTGACTGAGATTGGTGAAGACCTCCTGGTTCGAGTGGCCACGATGTCCCTCAAGACAGTTACACCTCACCTTACTTGTAGCAAGCGAGAGCCATTGCCTCCTCCAGGCTTATGTTGCTCAGATCGCTTGCACCAAACTGCACAGATAGCGGACTTCTGGTAAACCTCGTTCGACGAAGGAGTCTTGTGCGGAGACCTCTCATGGGTTGGGTGCACCCCCGAGACATCTCCAAAGGCCGCCCCTTCCACGCATATCACGGGCTCGAGGTCACCAGCATCACGGTGGCCCACCGCCTGTCGACGATTCGGAACTCCGATCGGATCTTCGTGCTGCTGGAGGGTCAGGCAAGGGGAAATTCTCCGAGATCGGACGGGTTGGAGGACATGCTTGGGGTGAGCCAGGTCAGAGTTTCACACGTGCCCCAATAAAGACATTTGCTTCACTCAAAGGCTGCGTGGTGGATGGTCCAGTGCACGGTCCAGGTCATCGAGCAAGGCACCTACAGTGAGCTGGTGGCCATGGGTGGATCCTTTGCCCAGCTGGCCGCCCGCAGCCTCTAGCCGCGCACGGGCACCGTGGTCCGAAGGGGCCAGTGTGTGGCTCCAGTATGGTGTGGGTATCTCCTGGGTAGACGGAACAACCCCCCTGGAAAGGCTTTGTTCAGATGGAGTTTCATGTTCCAGCAGGAACTCCTGCATTGGGCTTTGTGCCATCATTGTGCCATTTGCTGTAGTATCCCGACGAAGTGGGGTTTTGAAAGGGGCGCAGTGAGCTGCATCGTTTGCTGATTAGTTCGAAGGGCAAAGCACTCGGCCGACGGCTCAACTTTTGAGGGCGAGAGATTCCCGCCCTCGGGCGGCTGGCCGTCCGGGTTCCCTTGCCGTCCTAGCGGGCAGCTGCCAATGATCGACGGAGAAGCCATTGGTTGTGAAGAAAACCTGGTGCAGGGATCTTCAAAGGCACCAAAAACCTGCAGAGTAGTCCAAAAAGAGACTGTGAGCACTGGTGCCTGGGCAAAGATTTTTGTGTTTGGGTTATCTTGCATTGATGTGTCGATGCGGGTAGCAGTTCATTACCCTTGCCAGCGTCTAGCATCAAACTTACCATGGACGAGATTCAACACTCAAGCCAGCTTGCGTGCATGTGGGTTGCCAATATTGGCAGCCCAGGGATTGAGAACTTGCGGAAAGTGTTTACAATGCTGCGCAGGCCTGGTTCTGAAGGCATGGCGGCAGAAAAATGGACGTACACACACAGACAAACACTTGTAGGCAACCAACCGCATCAAGCACCAGGGCCCATCTTTTCCAATTTTGGACCGCCATGATCCACGCGGATTTGCACAACTCTGCCCTTGGCAGTCCAAACTCAGAGGCAGGCACCCGCAAAGACAGGAGTGTCATAGATCATCTGGATCGTGGCGCATCGTCTGATGCCGGACCACACCGCCCTCATAGCTCCCTTTTCTTCCCGCTAGAGGGTTGAGTCATTAGCAATTGCTGGAGTCATTAGCTACAAGCCATGGTGGCAAGACATAAACGAGTACTTCTTCTACCAGAGGAAACCCCTCCAAGGGGGACTCTTCGACTTCTCCCTCGCCCTGGGCCCGCCCTCAGGCGGGAGGCGAGCTGCGGCGGATCCTCAAGGACCGCAGCGAAGCGCTCTTTCCGCGCCTTGGGCGATGTGGGAGAGGTGGTGTGGGGCGGATGGTGTGGGAGGACATGAGCGTGCAGGACGGCAAAGATCGGGAGCGACCAGTGGATCTTATGATGTCTTATGTTTGACTTCGTTCTTTGTCTTTGAGGGCTATTGGAGGGATCTCCATACTTCAATCCATCCATTCAACAAGGTTTTGGTGGAGGGAGGAGAGCCCTTCGAGAAGCGCACCCCGTTGGCAGCAGCAATTGCACTGGCCAAAGAGGTGTTTGGGTCATTGTCAGCATGGCATGCAAAGGCCGAAAGGCGCTATTCTGCCACAAAGACCATGTCCATTATAGAATTATAGATGTATATATATATATATATGTGAATGTGCCTCAATGCAAGTCGAAAATAGACTTACATCCAGCGAAGATGAAAATACGGAATGTGTTCACATACAAATTGAGGGCGGAGAGCAAAGGGCCAGAACCTTTCCATGGGGTGTCTAGCAATGCATGCTTAGACGAGGTTTACGGTGCACTGGGGATAAAAAATCAGAACCATCTCTTTTCGCCCTCACCTACCTTGGACAGTGTGGATCAAAGCTCCCTCAGACTGCCTTCTGGGAGAGCGGCTCCTTTGACTCAGGAACGAGAAAGAGAAGGATGGTAAGGACCGTCCTGGGTGGATCATGCCCCCCTTTCGCCATGGTATACTGGCGCATGTTCATGTCATATTGGTGGGCACACCCCAACCGCGCATACTTATATATTACTTCTGACCAATTAGTTTGTGACCTGCTCTCATTTGGACGATTCACTGAGACCCACCTACTTGCACCCCCCACGCAGTTACCACGTTCTTGGCGGTTCCGTCCAAAATCTTGGTCTTTGAGATCTACAACCTGCCAGCTTGTCGATAGGTTCGTATCACATGAGTTTCGACCGGAACTTCCTTTCGACCATGGATCACAAGCATCCTGACTTCGACTTGAACTGGAACGTTCTCTCCTGCTACTGTATGTTTTATTCTTTTTTTGGGGGGGTCTGGTGAGAACAGTCAATGGTGCAACACCGTTTGAGACACAGTCTAGGAGCACCCAACCAGGGTGAACATGGGAAAGATGAGCCAGCACCCTGCCAGCCAACTATATAACTGTCTCAGCCGTCATCGTATCAGGAGTTTCAGGTTCGTCCTTATCAGCGTTTGGCCTATGGCGCCCTAGACTTTGCCAAGACGCCTGTGCAGCTGCTGCTGGGGTCGAAGATGACCTTGAGCGCGCCAAGGGAGTTGGAACATGTTGGAACTCCTGCAACGACTCCTTGAGGGCGTAACACATCAAATCCCTAGAAACCAACGGCCATGAGAGTCTTTGAGAGGGGCTAGCGGCTAGTCAGTCGAAGGACTGGGACTGGGAAGGCGCGAAGTGGAGAGGGAAATACATCGCTGGAGGGGGAGGATGACGGATGCAACCGTGGCACACTTGGAACGAAGTATGCGGCTCCGATGCGGGATGGAACGAAGCGCCCAAGATGAGGCTAATCAGCGTGCACTTGCTGACCTTTTACCAGCAGGCCTCCGGGCGTTCTGCCATGTTGCTTCCATTTCGGGTTCTTTTGGGAGGCCAACCAAAATGCGGCATCTCACACTCCAAAACGCGGCACCTCCGGTTCGGCACCGCCTTGGAGGCCGGTGCCGCCCTGGGCGCGGTGGCCTTCTTCACCTCGACGGCCCGGTGCTTCGACGTGCTTTCGGATCCGTTGATGGCCCAGGTGCGGTCCCCCAAAAGCCGGGAGGGGTGCGAAGCCAGTGAAGCTTGCTTAGGAGTGCCAGGGATTCAGTACAGTACAGGTGATCTGTGATTTGGTGGTGTGTAGTGCTAGATGGTCCAGGACTTTCTCCATTGTAGTGTTGCAAATTCATGTGCGGTATCCATAAATGGGTCCCCTCCGAAGGTCTTCGAACTTTCGAACCTTGTGGTCTCTTTGTGGCTGTCAGGGATCTGGGTCCAACCTGGACCCTCCAGCCTGCAACAGCCTTTGGGTCAAACCTTAGAGGTCTTGCAGCGTCTGACTTGTAGGGTTTTTTGCGGGAATACGATCAAGCCATCACGGAAGGCTTGTCCACCGTCGTTCCGATTCACCGCTGCCGCCGCGTCGCGTCGAGACGCCCGGCAGGTCTCGGATGGCTTCAGCTCGCGCTTCGGGCGAAGGCGGCCCTTCGTGTTGGTGGGATCGGTGCTTTATGCGCTGTGCCTGGTGGCTTCTTGGGGCACGGCGCGTCCGGGACGCGAGGTGTATGTTTGTTTTGGGGGGGGGCAAGAGCTGAATTTAACAAAGAAGGATGGGGATCAGGAAGGTCCAACAGTGGTTGATTGGGCATGACAAAGGCCATAAGATGGAACAGTTCACAGCTAGCGAGCTGCCCGAGCTGTGGGTTGCTGTCTTGAGGAGTTGAGAAGTTGCCAGGAGATTCATGAGGCGACCTGGTGGGCGAATTCCTTTTGGATGATTCGATCGTCATGTCTACAGATTTGCACTCCGACTCAGAAGTCCTGGAAGTGGAACACCAACACCCCCATTCGGAAAGGAAAGTAGCCTGCCAAATGACCAGTTTCCACTTGAATGTCTGTTGGTGAGTCATTGTGTACATGGTCACTGTGTCGGTTTGAAGTTCACCCAGGCTTTGTGCTCGCCTCCTTCTTCGATGTCAGCAGAGAACACTGGTCTCTGGTTTGGTTGCTTCTACATTTTGTTCTTTCTGACGGACACGTGAGGCCCTCAGATTGACAAGCGGCAGGGAGAGACGTTTTGCTTCACTAAAGGTCATTCAGTTGCTCTTGCCATTCAAAGGGAAGCTGAGAGCTCACCACTTAAGAGGTGACAATTGGGCACCACTGTGGCACTCGCATCAGTTCAGCCAGTCAGATCAACATGGAGACATGTCACCTACGTTCAATATCACTTCTTGGTGAACCTGCCTGCATGATGCTACCCTGGTTCAGGGGGACATGATGTTACCGCTCGCCCCGCAGATCCCAGGATCACTGCCATCCCTCACAATGCCTTGGGGCAAGAGATCACCTCAGACACCGACCAACGGCGCCTGGTTTTCATGGTCGCAAAGATCTACCAGGCCGGGAAGTTACAGCTTTGACAAGATCTGCCAGGGCGGGATCCGGAGAGGAGGTTGACAAGCGGACACGCGACATGTGAAGCTGGTTGCAACTCTTGGCGGATCTTTTTTCGTTTATATAAATACACTCCGACTCACTAACATGGAAGTGGACCCCCCCTGTTCGTAAAGGAAAGTAGAGGGACCATGCCATCCACTTCCACGCTAGTGAGTCAGAGTGTACTTGTTTTTCTTTTTGACAACTTGTCTATCCATGAGGACGAACTGAGCCCCCCCCGAAAGACGGAGAACAAAGGACCATCCAGGAGCTTTGAGTCGGCGTTGGCTCTGGGTTCGGACTTGCGCAGCAATCTGCAGAGAGGACACCTGGACCTTTGATGCAGTGAATGCATTGCCCCGTGTGGTTTCTATAGAGAGGAAGTACGGAGTTGAGGACTTAAAGGTATGGTTTAAGGCTAAGGCCACTCTCTGGCGACAGAACATTTAACAAGATGGCTCAGTATGCTGAGCCTCCTTTTTCACGATGAAAGGTAGGCTTCCCAACAACCAGCCTGGCATGTCCAAGATGTTTCGTGCGAGCTGCCTCCCTCCTTTCCTGGATTCCTGTCGTACCTCGCATACCCATCGACCTCCATAGAGAGTTCCCTCCTTTGTCTTGGATCCTGCGGGCATGTCGACGTCGACGGTGTCCGGCAGCCGTTGCTTCGGTCCGCCAGGCCTTCGGGATGATCGCCGCGGCGGCTCTGCCGGTGCTCCTGGGGAACCTGCTGAGCGCCTGCCACTTACCACCGGAGTGCGACGGAAGCGAGCAAGAGGCAGGGGAGCGGAGACTGCTCGCGGGACGGGAGGATGGGAAGATGGGAACGGTGCGTCTGTTTGGAGGGCACCTCACTGTTGGCAGGGGGGGTGTTCGTGTGACTGGCCTGAAGAAGTTCTTCAAGAGACTCTTTAGTCTTTAGGGCGGCTGTGTGCAGTGGCATGATTTGAGATACTGAAGGGAAGGATCTCGGCGTTGCCCAACCCAGTGCTCAAATCCTTCTAACCGGGCTTGGCTTAAAGCCGCGAAAATCTCCCAGTGCTGGATTGGTGATCCTGGACATAAGATAATGAATGATAATGACAAGGGGTTCAGGCGACAAAATCACACACACCCCTAGAAGTCAATTGTTTCTCCTGTAAAAACAACTCCCTTTTGGATCACCTCACAAGACAAGGTCGACTGGACTCGTACACAGCACAGATCCTCCGGAGTGCTGTGATCGCCTGTCAGGTGCGCTGTGCAGAGCTCGAACGGGAGTGTGATGGACTGCAGAGCCGGCGTTCGATCCTGGTGACCGGGCATAGAATTTACGACGCATGTCCTTTGCATGAGGATGTCATAGCATGTCATAGCAGGATGAGGGCTTAGGTTTGAGAGCTCTTGTGAATCTTGTGAATGAGCCTTTGCTCTTGGATGTGAGCGTTGCATGTAGCTGATGAGTGGTCGATTTCCTTCGGCTATGGCTCAAGCTTGTGAAGGGCCAAGTCGACTGAGAAGGATCACACCTTACCGGCAGCCACTATGGCAGAGGGACCAGGATCAGGCGTGTGGATGACCAAAGGAGGCATGAAGTCTTGGTGGCTAATGGAGTGCAACATTGAGCTCTCGAAGCAGGAGTTCTTCAAGGGCATCCATGCAGGCTTTCATGAGGAGCTGGGCGAAGCAAGGTTCCTTGACATCGAGGCTGCAAAACGGTTGGACGGCGGCACTGCAGGTGAGAATGTGGGGCGTTCCATCACCGAGTTCAACAAGTTGCTTGGAATGACTATGGGCATCCACAACCACCTCCACATGTTCAATGCTGGCGCCAGCAAGTTTGCCCCAGACAAAGCCGTGAGTGAGACGAAGGATGCGATGCAACAAGTGCTGGACACTCTCGCGTTCCACTGGAGAAGGGCTTTGGCAAGCAATTTGCACCGAGACCAGGGCAGTGAGATAAGCCACGTGCTGTGCACCATCCGCGAACATGCGAAAACCTCTTGTGGGTGCTCTTTTCCCGTCGCAAGCCAGGCGGCCAGCCAAGGGCAAGCGACGAAGCGACGCCGGCCCTTGTCCAGCGGTCGATAGACAGGTCCAAATCGTAGTTGCGGGACGCCCATTTAGTCCAGAGGCTCCCCATGTCAAGCTTGAAAGTTGCTTGGGCACGATGGAGGGGAAGGACGCATCGTGATGAAAATGCGCGCGGATCACTTCAGTTGGGGGTTGTCGAATCAAACTTTTATGTTATTAAACATATATATATATAGATAGATGGTTGCACTCTTGATGAATAGTGATAGCGGCGCCTTGCCAGAGCAAGTGTGGTTGTTTTCTGGCTGGCAGTGTGAGCGGCTTGTTGTCTTGCTTTGTGTCGCTCAAGCTGGAGGCTCTGTGGCTTGGTGTAAGCCCTAATTGGCAACACTAGTGTCGAACAAATTGTTTGGAGGAGGGCTTCTCCCTGTTTGTAGCGGGTGTTATGAGGGCTTTGGGGCCAGAACGTGCAGGCATCTTGAGCAACTTGGCCACGGCCCACGGCACACACAATGGGCACCAGGTTACTGTGTTGGGAAGATGGTCCAGTTACTTCAGATGCCAAGCACATGCAACGCAGATTTGGTCATAGGTTCTGGTGGGTTCAAGACGTAAAAGCCTGCAGGCCCAACTAGTCAGATTCAATGTGGCAGTTTAAGGTAGGATGGCTTGTCTCAAGCTCGCCTGAGGCGACCGGCCTGATCTTCGGCGCCGTGGCGGTCCTGTCAGGAACGAACTGATAGTAAAAACCACTGCGGGAACGGACTCAATTCTGGGGAGTGGACCGCCGGCAAGCAAAGCGAGCACGAAAGCCTTTGAGCCCGGACCCCAACAGTTCTTCATGCAATTAGTTTCGTTTCTTTTTAAAGTACGTTGTGCTTCGGCCATGTAAGCTTTCGAGTTGTCTCCTTCAACTCTTTCTCCACTCCTTCATGTTTGCCAGGCCTCTCCTGTGTGCTCTTCATCCGGGAGAGGAAAGCTGACGCTTCTCGCGCTGGCGCCCCGTTGCTGGAAGGGCCCTCCGTGACTGAGAGGCCTTCGCCGCTTGGCCGGGAGGTTCGGGCTAAGGACCGTCGGACTTGGAAGAATTTGATGGTGTTTCTATGTGTTTATGGTTTGATGAACCAGTTTTGGGCTCAATCATGGGTTGCTTGATATATATAGTGTTGCAACCTTCGTTCTTTGCAACATTTGTCATGCGCCGGGCTGGAACCACGACTGTGCTTGTTTCCTAAGCGACTAAGACTAAGCGGTTTTCCTTGGTTCCCGTTGCCCAGGAAACTCGATGAGATACTTCCTGGGTTTCTTGTGGCCTGGCAGAAAATGTAGTTCAAACAGGAAAAATGCATCATTGCGGTTAGCTATGCGGTTGACCGCCGCCAAGGCGATGCTGCAGAATCGGCCTTTTCGAGTGCTTGGGCAAAATATGTTGGGCCGACACGTGGTTGTTGGCAGGATGCTTCCGCATTGGTTTCGTTGCCTCCGTGTTCGATTTGAACGCACGCTGCAAAACAAGCAAGCCCAAACAAACCCAAACAGAAACGACTCGACGCGACCAACCTCACGTCCACCATCGCTGAAGTGCAAAAGTGAAACGCCAACTTCAAGACAAACGGTTTCAAACATTTGACCATCTATGAGGCTTTTTACCCATCGCCGAACACGTCGGGAACGAGAGGAAGGATCGGATTTCGATCGACCCGGCCGTCCGACGAGTCGAGGCCATGGTGATCCCGTGGGTCTTGGACCAGACCATCGTGGCAATGCTCTCCTCCTTGCTGCCCTTCTACGTGCAGAGCCTCGGACGAGTTCGCTTAACGCCGGGACGAACGAGGACGGAAGTTTTCTTCCTGCTGCTCAGTGCTTCCGAAAGCTGCAGCGCAAGGGTGAATTCCAGGCTTTTGCGCCCCACAGTTTGTTCCGCTTTGCTTCGGGCACCGCCGGAGCAGTGTATGGCAACCGACTACCCGCAATGTGTACCTCAGGTGGTGACAGCTTTGGTGGTTTGTGTGGGTCGTGCTCTGGGGTGTCACACTGGGATGTTCGATGGGCTGAGGTACGTCATCTCGCCGGAGGAGATTTGCGAAGATAGCGATCCGCCGATCCCCATCACGAGCATGCGCTGCAGCTCCCGGATGCTGTGCCCACAGCTGAATGGGCGCGTAGGCGGTTTTTCCGTGAACCGAACGCAGCGAGAGAGGAGGTTTTGCCGTTAACCAAGAGCAAATTGGAAGGCTCCTCAGTGCACCTCATGCAGTTTCGACTGGGTGATGCTAGCTATTGGAAGGCTTTCCAATCCTGTCACTCATGCCTTCATTGAGGCTTGGCATTGGGTTGGTTTGCATGCTGCTGGCCGCTATCGGATCTATGCCCCTATGGCAGAAGGCAGCCATGGGCTTTGGTGACTACAGGACCCGATCTGACTCGCTTGGACCGTTGCGCGATGGCGGCCCAACGGGGTTGCGTTCAGGACATGGCTCGCCTTCAACTTTCTCAATGCGATCACCACCATCCTGCCACTTGGACACAGGGAGATTGTGTGATCAGACTTGTGCTAGTACCTGTGCTAGTATCGTGGCCTGCAGTATGAATACTTACATACACATACATACACATACATACACACACATACACACACATACACACATATACACACATACATACACACACACATACATACATACATACATACATACATACATACATACATACATACA